CGCCCCACAAATAACCCAGAAATGCATCTTTAATAAAAGGGCACATTCTACTTATGTAACAACATGCTGATTCTCGGACTGTCCATGGGCCGGATTTAGAAGGCGATTGGGCCGGATCTGGCCTCCAGGCCTTAGTTTGCATACCCATGGACTAGATGAATCTTTGGGTCCCTTCCAACTCTACAATCCTATGATTTAAATATTGTGCGTGATGGAAGAGGGTGGCTGCCTTTGAGCTGATCCAGTGAGACTCTTCCTAATGTTCTCATTAGCCACAAGAGTCAGGAGTGCAACCTCCATGTTCAGTGGCAGTCTACCACCTCTTAACGTGAGGCCATTGCCTTCATGCCTTGCTTGTGAGTTTCCCACCATGGCATCTGGTTGACGATAGTGGGACACAAAGGAATATGGGAAGCTGCCTTATACCAAAGTCAGACCCTTGAGTCCACCTAGGTCAGTTCTGTTGACACTGGCTGGCAGCGGTTCTCCAAAGTTTCCAGAGGCAGGGGACATTCCCAGTCCTACAAAACAGGCGCTCTGCCACTGAACTACAGATAAGACTTGACTCTTGATCTAGCAGAGCTCTCTTATATAACTTAAGTTCCTGGCTCACAAGCACACTCCTCACTTTTCCAGAAGCTGTGACCACCACAATCATCTTCTGCAGGTTAAACTCATCCCGGGCCAAGTTGTCAATGTTGACTTCGTTCTTGATCTGGCTGCGGGGCTTGCGGGCGTCGTAAAACATCTTCCAAAGGTGAGCGGTCCAGGCCTGGAGGAGGATGAGCTGAGAGGACAGGCGCTTCAGGAACATGCCCAGCAGACCATCTGGAAAGGGAGAGAGAGAACGTGTCACACCCAAAAATTAAGCAGAGGTTAATATAGAGGGAAGAGCCTGTAGCATGACCAGACGAGCCACTGCACCGATTCAGCATTGCTCTTGCTTTCTCATATTCTTAACTTGGCTGACATTTCTGAGCCTCTCTAATAAAGAAAGCTTGAAGCTGTGTGAAATCCCTCATCCTCTTCCAAGCTTGAGAGAAGGACAGGCGATCTTGGACAGGGGACAAAGTTCCTCACTGCTGGCGAGCAGGAGAGCATGTTTGTGGAGCCGTGTGGTCCAGACAGCAAGCACAACTCAACAGGACCAAGGAAGCTCATGGAAGACAGATAGAGCCCCATAGACTGACACAGATCTCTCTCTCTCTCTCTCTCTCTCTCACACACACACACACACACACACACCCCTTTCTAAAGCAAGATTGTCAAGAAAAGCAAGTGAAAAAGACAACTGGAGAATTACCTTGAATTGCTGGTTCCATGACAGCAAAAAAGACAAAGCAGAAAATATTTGAAATGTACTCACTGGAGTAAGAACAAAAGCCACAGTATCAGAGCTGTAACAACTAAGTTGTGGAACCTTCCCTACAGAGATGATTTTGGCCCCTTCATTACACAGCTTTTGGAGAATGCTGAAGATGCGCCTCTTTACACCACCCCCACCCCAGCTTTTGACACATGAGATGAATATTTTAGGACCTACCTTGTTTTTGTAATTTTATCTTTTTAAAGGTTGTTCTTAATGTTGTGTTTTAACTGTTGTTACCTTTAGGGTCAAGGGTGAATAATAAATTGCAATCCACCTGTGCAACACTACCAAGCAGCCTTGTTGACCAGGAGGGTCTTGTGAGTTTTGACAGGCCTGGGAAGGGAAAGAAACACCACCTGTGGCTTTACCTGCTTTCTTCCCAAATTCACCCTCCAGCTCTGCCTGCGCGCCTGTCAGGGGAAGATCCACCATCTGCAAGCTGACCACTTCAGCCAAAGACTCTTCTCTGCTCCACAAAACTTTCCCTGCGGAGAAAAAACAAGAGATGCATAGGTAAAGGTAAAGGGACCCCTAACCATTAGGTCCAGTCATGGCCGACTCTGGGGTTGCGGCGCTCATCTTGCTTTATTGGCCAAGGGAGCCGGCGTACAGCTTCTGGGTCATGTGGCCAGCATGACTAAGCCTCTTCTGGCGAACCAAAGCAGCGCACAGAAACGCCGTTTACCTTCCCGCCGGAGCAGTACCTAATTATCTGCTTGCACTGGTGTGCTTTCGAACTGCTAGGTTGGCAGAAGCAGGGACCGAGCAACGGGAGCTCACCCCGTCACGGGGATTCGAACCGCCAACCTTCTGAATGGCAAGTCCTACTTCCGGGGTGGCGCCTCCGGAAAATGGCGGAATCCCCTTCGAACTGAAGGGAACCCGCTGCACGGAGGCTTGGGTCCTGCCGCTACGGCGCAGCGGAGACCCTTAAAAACCACAGGCGGAAGAAGCCTGTGGACGTGGGACTCGGCGGGCACCGAGAGCGCTCTCTCCACTTGTACTGGTGCCCGGTCACGGGCTCCGGAGTGGGAGGTGCGTGGTGCTGTGAGTCGTCTGCTTCCTCCGTGCAGCAAAGCCGCACTGCCGTTTTCGGAGAGCGCTGCCTTTTTCCTGGACAATTTGGCATCTAAAACATCTATCCGTGAGTACCTGATCTTGGAAGAGCTGAACTACTTTTAAGACTGGTGAACAAATAAATAACATTGGATTTGGACTTGAAATTGAATTTAATTGGGACTCGGAACGGAAAGGTCTAAACAGGAAGTCAGCCTTCCGTTCTTTTGTTACGTGAAGAAAGCAAAGACAAAGTATACTAAAGCTTGAAAATTAAATTCTGAGAGAACTAAAATTCAACATCTAAGATTTCTGAACCCCTTTGACTGCAGGAGAAGAAGGGGGTTGTTTTGGTCTTTTCAATCCTGCGGAAGTGAGTTTAAAATAAAGTAATTTTCCACCGCCCTGAACCAGGAGCGGGCTGTCAGAACTGACGTTTTGAAGCTTATCCAGCTCGACAGATAGTTAAAAGAAGGGTAACATTTTGACTTTACTGTTGCCTCTTGAATTTGGAAGGGGGAATTTTGGATAAAGTGTTTCTGGAAAAAGTAAGATTGTTGCCGTTGCTTTTCCCCCTCTTAAAAAAAAAAAAAAAGGGTTTTCCATCTAGTGGAACTGAGTGAAATTGCAATGCAGAGAGTATAAAAGAGAAGGACTATTCTCGTGGGAAAGAATCTTCTTTGACCTTGAAGGACAATGCTTGTACAAAGGCTTGAACAAGTGTTCCTGGAAGGTTTTGCAAAATTAAGTGCCCAGCTGGACCAGATGCGTCAGGAGCCGACCTTGATGATGGAAGCTACCAGAGCACAGCAGCAAACAAATGAAATTCAGTTAAAGTCTATACAAGTATATGAACCTGCTGTAGCGACGGAGGCTTCAGAGATGGAGGGATCTTTGGATGGGCAAGATCAGCAGTTGAACTTGATAAATGAACTTGGGGCAAACCTGATTCGGAAAGATGAAATGTGGTCAGATTTGGAAATGGGGGGATGGATTGACACCCCTCTATATGGTTATTTGGACTTTCCGAGTCTAGTGATGGGCCATCAGAAGATTGGAGTAGTCGAAGTCTCCAAACTTTGTGGAAATTGGAAGTGGTATTATTTGCTGTCTGGCTTGGGTAATGGGTTTGGGATGGACTTGCTGCAAAGAGTCAAAAGCATCTTTTTGTTGGAGTTTCCACTACCGAAAGGGAAATATCAACAAGAGTGGCGAAAGGGGCAAAAAAGAGACTTGAGGGCCTCGGATACGAGACAACCAGGTTAAGGAGCCGGATTATTGAGGTTAAAAGGACTGACAATCCCGGGTCCAGGGGAGGGGAGGTTGGAAGCTGACTGGACTGAATCTGACTTATTACTTTTTCTTTCTTATTTTTTAATATTGGGAATGTTTATAAATGTTTGAAGGATGTTGAATGAAATTATATGGCTTAAGTAAGGATTGGTAAATGATTCGTAAAAAAGTAATGATGTAAGAATTTGCTAAATATTGAATATAAGTTTGGAGTTTTAAAGTTTTTATATGACAAGAGGGAAAATAGAATAAGGAAACGTAATGATAGATTGTTTTGAAAAAACAGAAAGGATTTGCTGTAAAAATTAAAAACTAAGAAACAAGAGAGGGGAGGAGGAGGAAGTCTAGAAAGGAAGTTAATGGAGATCGTTAAGAACTTTATACTTTTGTTTTTCTGTTTTTCTTTTTTTCTCTTTTGCGGCTGGGTTTTTCTTTTTCTTTATTATTTCTGTATTATTTTTGTTGTTCTTTTTTTTTTGTATTTTCAAATTTTTTTGGAAATTTTTGTTGTTACTCTTTGAAAACTTAATAAACATCAATTTTAAAAAAAAAAA